GTACACCCGTCCCCACACGCTTAACTTCACGCGGTGTATGCCTCGACTAAATTCAGCGGAATGAGTCTTACATCCCAGGGGTACACGGGTGTTGGCTCGCTTACGTCGTTTTTTGGATGCGGGCTCGATCGGTTAACCCCCTAGCACAGGTTCCACAGGAACACCCTCACTACCTGGCTTCTACTCCCTGACCTCTAGGCTTCCACTCCCTGACTCTCCCGGCTTCCACTCACTGACTAACTCCTTACCCCCGCTGCTGCTTCCAGAAACCACGTTCTTAGCCATCTCGAACTTTCCACTGGGAGGTTTTCATGACCAAATGCACGGACCCCTTCCGGTCTGCACACCTTCTAGAAGTTTCTCGAAGCTTCGATCCACAGGTCCTCCACCCCCACAGGCACGGACGAAAGAAGGTATACCTACTCCCCCTTGAATGCAATGGACTCACCAACCTCCCTTCAGTCCCTCGCAACAAAAGGCCAGTTCAGAGGACCATGATCCCTCCGGGGCATCTCACTTCTACAGCTAAACTTAACTGTTACTTACAAACAAATTAGACTTTCCGTGAAGGGTGCATACGGTTACAGTTGCATTAGTTTAAATTCTGTGTGTTTTTTATTTAGAATCCGATCTTCCACACCCGTTTGGTCTTGCTGTATTTGGAGATAAGATCTACTGGACAGACTGGAATACTTCTAGTATCCACATGGCAGATAAACAAACCGGAAAGAATAGGACCATACTGAGGTATGAGTAATCATAATGACCTTTTCAGAACAACTTATACATATTATACTGTTCCCAAGGAACAGCATTAAATTAAGCCAATTGTAAAGTGTTCTGATGACAGTACATGAGATGTGTTACTGACTTTCTGGCAGCTTTGGCTATCATCTGGTATTCTGAACAAATGCACATTATATTTCATACATAATATAGATCTGAGCCTGAAATGAAATATATTGACAATGAATTAATGTATCTGATACATGAAATGTAATGTGTGTGGGGACAGGTCCGGCATATCAGGACTGATGGACGTGCGTGTTTTCCATCGAGGACGTCAGGCAGTCCCTTCCATGTGTCAGGCTATGAATGGTGGATGTTCCCATCTTTGTCTTCTAGCTCCTCTTCCCAAGGGACACACATGTGCATGTCCAATAGGAATTAAACTACTGGTCAGTATTGGTTCTCTAGTAGCCGTACAATAAACTATCTGATTTATATGAACACAATTCAGGGGACCCAAATATATGCCTTCGCTGCTTAGAAAACCTCAAATCTCACATATGTCATAGTTTTGCTGGTATATCTTATATTTATCGAGAATGACTGTTCTGCATTTAGGAGGATGGTCGGACTTGTGCTCTGGGACCAACAAACTCTCTGATTTTTGCTCATCGAGTTGACATACGACAAATCTCATTAGATGTTCCATACATTGTTGACGTCGTACTGCCTCTACCCCCTCTGAAGAATGCCATTGCTGTAGATGTTGACAGGAAAACAGGTAAATTCCAGCAATACTGTATGTTATGATAACAGGGTTGTGTGATGGTATGTTATCTTAACATTGTTGTTTTACAGCATGTTATGAAGTGCTGTGGTTACATGATTAACATTCCTCCTTCATATTATACACAAATATGTACTATCAAACTGTATGATTAAAGGCACTATGCTACAAGTTGGAAGGTTGCGGGTTCAAATACCGATGAGGTCATTGGATTTTTTCAATTGACCTAATCCTTCTGGCCGCACTATGGCCCTGGGGTTCACTCAGCCTCTAACAGAAATGAGTACCAGGAATTAAATAAATAATTTTCCTGGGGAGTAAAGTGCGGCTGGTGCCTAAGGCTGACAACCTTACTGCCATCTTTGAGCCGATTGTCTAGATAATGTGGGACCCTCAACGTCTCACAACCCTATGGGCTTTCATGGCCTGTTACAGGGATAGCTTTACTTTTTTTCTTTTTTACTTTCTTTATGATTAATTTATAGTTCTTACTAATGTCATCATATAGAGAGGCAGTAAAGAGGTAAAGCTGTCCCTGTGCTTAATTAATTAAGAATCACAGCATGAAGGTATATGGGGGAGCGGAGGTATAGCTCCACCGTTCTTGACCTTGGAACTAGATGGAGGTGAGTGGTTAGCTTCATGCCTGGAGTAAGAATCTACTGTACCCATTGCATAAAAGGCTGGGTGAGCCCAGAGCCAGTCTGGACACTGTGGAATAGAGAAAAATATCTTACCTCTGCAGGGAATTGAATCCTGGCCATCCAGCCTAGCCTATTGATATACTGAGTGAGCTATCCCAGCTCTTATAGAAAGACTGTAGCATTGTAAGTTCTTCTGCATTGCATTTCAGGTGACATATACTGGACAGACACAGCAGAAGATGTGATTCAGAAAGCAACACCAGATGGCCAGCATATTGAGAGTATTATAGTGGACGGCCTAGAGACAGCAGATGGTATTGTTGTGGACTCAGCAGGAAGAAAGGTAGTTCAGAAAGTGTAGTCTTATATGCCATTACTTTTGGTTTCAAGCAGGATGTATGCCACAAAATATATAATTCCAAATTCTTTAAAGATGTATGTAATTTTTCAAAATGTAACTGTTCTGTTGCATCTGTTTTCTGTTCCTTACTGTGGACCTCTTAGAGAACATTCAAGTATATTATGAACTTTTCTCTCTACCATTATCAATACATCCAGTATGCATGGCTGTTATAATCGTGTGCATTCGTAATTAGAATCCTCATTCCTAATACTTTCTTTAAGTAATTAAATGAATAAATGTTTTCTTAAGTTGAGTGTTGTGCCTGTTTGAACTTCTCTGCATTGCAGTATTAACAAGGAAAGCAATGATATCTCAGGTGAACAATGAGTGCTCTTCTAGCAGACAGTATACATTATGTTTCCCAGATATATTGGACGGATGCTGGGCGTAACAGCATAGAAGTGGCTGAATTAGATGGGCGCAATCGTAAGGTTTTAGTTTGGTCTGGTCTGGAATCACCACGAGCTATCGCTCTCCATTACCACCATGGACTAATGTACTGGTCAGACTGGGGCAGCAACCCTCGCATTGAACAAGCTGATATGGATGGTGATCACAGGTTAGTGTGAGTGATAGGAAAAAGTAATACCTCTGTGCATGGAATATGAGGCTGGGTAGGCCCCAGGGCCAATCTTGATGCTATGGAGAGGAGAAATATTCCCAGCATATGCTTGAAATTGAACCCTGTTTTCCTGGTTGGTCACAATATTGACTGAGCACACAAGTGACTTTTAAAATTGGCTCCTGAAATTTTATACTGATTTTTTTTTATGAAACTGGAAGATAATAACATGATAACTGTGCAAAATAGTTCGACATGATATGATAATGACTAAATGTAACATGATGCATGAAATTTGTGTGGTAACATAGAAAACACATCTGTTGATATTGCAACTGCAAACCAAGCATGGTGGACTAACAGTAACACACTTCCCTCTCCTGCGAGGTACCCAGTTCAGACATTGGACAAGACACTGCCTATCCTGACTTGACTATCATCACACTTTCTTTCAGCCATTCCAGGAAACTTCTGGGACAACACATCATAAAGGCCATGACTGCTTCCTCTTTGATCCTTTCCAGTTCAACACACACAATCATACCTTTCAAAGTTCTGTCACCTTCCAGCTGATACATCACTGTTATAAACTCAACTATCTGTGAAGCTTTCATGGTGGCTATGTTGGGCTATCAGCCATGGCTGACAGTCTGACAGGATTTTATCACTTAACTTCATGAAGCAGAGTCCTTGAGAAGCTAAAAGTCATTCAGATGGTCAGTAAATTATCTTTCATTACCATCCATCAGTGATCCCTATCCTGAGCCTGATACATTCAATCCACACTCTCAAACCATATTTATGTAAGATACATTTTAATGTTATCCTTCATTCTATGCCTGCTTCTCCCAAACTGTCTTTTCCATTCACGCTATTCGAATAAAATGTTGCATGCATGTATCAATTTCCCCATACATGCTACATGCACCATCCATCTCCTTGATTTGATTACTGGTAGAGTAAAAATTATGAATCTCAGCAGTGTGTACTAAAGATAAACAAATGAAACCTGTTAGATTTGGGATTCTCATGGCAGTGAATATGTACGTTACTGTATTGTGGGATTTGATGATGTAGATAAGTCTGGTCTGTAGATGTCTGGTAGATAAGTACTAACATTTTGCTGAGACCTACTGTCTCCATCTATCAAATCAGACTGCGTCACAACCCAAAGGATCATAATCTTTAAACCGATTATGTTATGAAGAGTACTGTCCTCTGGGATGTGACGCTGTGTAGCCTGGCAGAAGTTTGCCACTGTTTTTGAGAAACATTGCCTCTATATTGAGACTTGAAGAGTAAGCTAACCAGGCAGCTAAAAGAAGCAGGTGGCTATTTCCTTGGAATACACTTCAGTCCTGATGATGAAGTCAGTGTGTTCCAAACTACATGGTATCGTGTCACAGACAATATTACTGTCCATAATCACCACCGTGAGAACCACAAATCCAACTATTTGGTCTAATTTTTCAAAATTCTTGGAAGTACTGAAGGAATTTCAAAATTGTGCTTTCAGGTTAACGTTAATATCAGATGGTTTGGGCTGGCCCAATGGGCTGACTATTGACAGACCTGCTGGTCGCTTATATTGGAATGATGGGCAATGCAAGACGATTGAGAGTTCTGATCTGTCAGGACAAGATCGTCATGTTGTGGTGACAGACGTACCTCACCCATATGGACTGGTAATAGTGGGAACTCATGTGTACTGGACAGACTGGCAGACAAAGGCCCTACACAGGGCTGATAAGATCAAGGGCACTGAGAGTACAATCATCAGAGGGAAACTTGAGGGACTGATGGATGTAAGGTCTGTACAGGTAAGGCCAACCAAGACAGATTTGAGGAATGTAACTACATTGTGTGTTATTCATTCAATGAACACACAATTTTTGGAAGTATACTGCTCACTCAGATGGCTAAATCACTAGAATGCAAACACAATAGTGAGGAAGGTCATATCTGTACATCCATTTGCATGTTTAACCTCTAACACTGCTCATTTGGTTTTCATAGAATCTGGTATTGAGTGTTTACCCCAAAATTATCAGCCCTATTTTATTTTATTACATTTGAGGTTAATGGTAGTGAAAATGAAGACTGCAGCTTTTAGGCTCATAACACTGTACAGTCAGGCAGGTGGGTACCAATGTAAAAATTATCCCTGGACCTAATTAATTAAGCACCAAACCATAATGATATATGGGGGAGTGGAGGTTTAATGTAAACATTCTTAACCTTGGTACTGGATGCAGGTGAGTGGTCAGCTTCATGCCTCTGCTGCTTTAGCCCCAGGGGAAACAGCCCCTAGTATCCCCTGTATAGGAAGCTGGCTGCCTCCCAGAGCCAGTCTGGATGGGCACAAATGTATTGGAGTAATATACTGCCTCCATCTTCAGGGTAAGCAGTGGAGGCAACATGCTTCTCTGAAACATTGCTGACTAATCATCAGACTAGAGGGTGTGCTATAATTCAGAACAACACAATTAAAATTTCATTTTGGTTTATACTGGTTCAGTGAAACCCCTACTTTATACAAATGTGAATCAGAATTTATCAGTGATATCAGAAATGTTTCACTGCAATAAAAATTTGGACATCATATAATATATGTTGCTTGTCAAGATTTACAACTTTTATTTGAAGAACGTTTTATTTTTTATATTTAGATATACAAGGAAGAATAATTTCTGACACTCTACTGTGATATCTACAGCTTTGCAGCACTGTATATATGCAGTAAATAAACGTCAAAGCCAAATCACAAAGAAGACAACTGGGAAAATCTATTTCTGTTCCACTTATATTATTGGCACTATACAATTGCTATGGCAACCATATTTTATAAACATAAGAAAAATATGCATTACATTTGAAGCATTCCAACAATTAAACACATCTACTTGCATCAGAATTTATGAGGGTAAGTCAATAAGTAAGTTACAAATGGATATAGAACTTAAACAAATACGAGTACTGATTTGAAAAATGCTTTTATTTCTCAACATAATCTCCCTGTACATTGAGGCACTTGTCCCATCATTTCACAAGCCCCTGAAAACCAGTAGCATAAAATTCTTTGGGCTGCTGTCAGAACCAGGCATGTTCACACGGCATGGCATACCTCATAATGCATGACAGGTTAGGTTTTCACAAAGTCTGTACATCATTGGTGCCGAGCATGCTGACCCCACAACACAAAATGCAAAGAATGGGTCTGGAATTACAGCATCTCCATCGCTACCACGATGAAGGACATGATATGCTAGCCCAAATTGTCACAGGTGATGAGTCTTGGGTTCACCATTACCAGCCTGAGACAAAGCATGCATCAATGCAGTGGAAACGTCCTGCGTCACCTGCCAAAAAAAGTTTAAGGTGACACTATCCTTCAGGAAAGTGATGCTGTAGAAAGCTGTATAGAAAGGGAAGTCACTGCCTGGTTCCGACAGCAGCCCAAAGAATTTTATGCTGCTGGTTTTCAACTGCTTGTGAAACGATGGGACAAATGCCTCAACGTACAGGGGGATTATGAGGAGAAATAAAAGCATTTTTCAAATCAGCACTCTTATTTATTTAAGTTCTATATCCATTTGTAACTTACTTATTGACTTAAATAGAGCTGGTAAATGTCTCAGCAGTACTAAGTTCCTGGTACTCCAAACAGTGGGCACATTTCAGAAACTGGATTTCTTTTGTCATCAGGCTGAAAGGAGGGAATGAACCTAGTCAGTTGGATCCATAAGAGACAGCTGATTTTATTCACTGAACAAACTAAGTCCATAATGTTGGCTTCTGGTTGGATGATGGAAAAAGCTCAGAAACTCTTTAATACTAAGAGTGATATATGAGGGTTGTTCAGATGAAATCTGTAGGTGGTGCTGTCAGAGTTGAGTCAGATACATCAGAACTGCATTGGTGCAGTGGTTCTGTCAACAGCCCAGGGAGTTTTCATGAAAGTGATTCATCAGCTGGTGTGTCAGTGGCCAAGGACCATTTTTAATGGCCTCTAATTTTCCGTCCAGTATAATCCCTGAACGGGTTTCATTTGAATAAGCCTTGTTTTGTTTTGTTGTTTATTGGAGAGGGTGGGTTTCCCCACGCACTTAGACCAGATATTGGTACATTGTGTGTCCCCCTATGATATTCTACCAGTCTCTATACCCTACTGGTACTGGTGCGTACCATCAGTCCCGACTCAGCCAGCGAGTTCGGCCTCTACAGGCTCAGCGGTATCTCGATGCTTCTCCCATCTACCAGAGGCGTTAGAGACTACTGTTGGGTGGGAAATGTCCTGAATTTGTCTCAGAGGTCCCCTTGGGACATGAGGTTCTTTTACGTGCCATAAAGTTATGACACAGGACCCATGGCTTAAAGCCCCTCTCGGAGGACTTGTTCCCTGAATTTTTCCGCCCTTAAAAATTCTGCCAGCTTTGAACCCGCGTACCTTGAGTCACGAGGTGGGAACGTTACCCCTAGACTATGGAGGCTGCTTTGAATAAGCCTTACACCACTGTCAGAACCCTTTAGAAACATTGAATATTTGCTTATGAAAATAACAATCTGCCCCTAGTTGCACTCTAGAAATTAGAGACTGCACTGTGTTGGAACATAAAAGCAGCTGTTTGTCTGTCCGACTGTGTGTTCCCCACCCACTGCAGGTGGACAACGTCGCAGAGAATGCTTGCGGGACAAATAATGGAGGATGTTCACACCTCTGCCTGAGGAATCCTTCCAGCTACACATGCGCATGCCCAACAGGCACTGTACTTCGTGAGGATGGACGCACATGTAATACAGTTCCATCGACATATCTCCTTTTTGCAACAAGAAGCACTCTGGCCAGGGTATCACTTGATACTCCTGAGCTATGGGATGTCACTCTGCCCATACCGGATGTTCATAATGCCATCGCAGTCGACTTCCACTGGAGAAATCAGAAAATATATTACACAGACGTGTTTCTCGATATCATCAGGTAAGGCTATATATAGGTCATCTTTATCACTTTCTCTCTTCTTCATCCAGGACCATTTTTGCTTGATATGGATTGATGGATTAACATCTACAATCTCTTGTATCTCCACACACCAAATCTTTCCTTTTCAGTTTCTTGCTAGATTTTATCTCTCTTCTTGACATCTTCCAGTATTTGGCTCTATGTCCAAAAATGTCAGTTTTCTTTCTTTTACAGCATTGATTATTTCATCCACATATCTTATTTTATTTGGCTACTGCATTCACAGTTCAAATTTGTAGTTCTTCTGTTTGTTCATGTTTTCTGTAGAGGGGTTATCTAATGAGGCTGTCATTATCTGGACGGTACAACATTCATTTGCAGGACTAGCAATGACTTGGAAAGAGTGTGGAAGAACATGGTCACAGCCTAATTGAGGTACTAACCTGGAATTTGCTTGGCAGGACTGCTGGAAAGGGGGGGGNAAAAAAAAAACTCCATCCAGAACAACCAGCATCCCAGCCAGAATTCAAATTGCGCACCTCCTGAATACAAGTCTAGAGTGTCAATTCATGCATTTGGTTTCCTTATAAATCCCTCTTTCTACTCACTACTGGACATGACACAGAGCCAGTTCCATCCACATCTCTGAGATTCATCTTAATGTTATCCTCCCATCTCCTCCTTGATCTCCCAATTGGACTTTTCCAAAATTCTGTAGATATTCCAAGCTACATGTCTAGCCCATCATAACGTCCTATATTTGAGTATCAAAACAATAAGGTGACCAATATAAATCAGTTTGTTTCCATTATGTTTAAATCTACTTTTACAAAAATGGCTTGGCTAAGGTAGCACTCTGCTTGTTCCAACAGGAGTGTAGACATGCACAATGTAACGAACACTGAGACCATCATCTCCACGAATCTCACAACTCCAGATGGTCTGGCTGTAGACTGGATCGCAGACAATATCTACTGGACTGATGCTGGCCGCAAGGTGCTTGAGGTGGCGCGATTAGATGGTTCGTCACGTAAGATAATCATTCGAGATGGTCTTGATGAACCAAGGGCCCTAGCAATGTTCCCCAGGAAAGGGTAAGGAACTTCATGCTGCTTGCTTTATCTTGGGTAACTTATCAATTGCATAGTCTTTACACTGTCAAATGGTAAGATTATGGATAACAACAAATAAATATATAATGAAAATCTCTACTTCTGAAATAAAATCTGTGTGTGTGTCAGTGCCCTAGATGTGCTCCTTAATCCAAACATATTACAGTCTCTGGATGGTAAGAACACATGCCACAGACACCTGTCCACACATCATATTCTGGATCTGTCTGTCCATTCATGGTCTTTCTTCTGGCTGATATACTCACAGCCATACTAAACTGTCGTTATTTAGTAAACTTCACTAGTTTTCATGACCCATGACATACAAAAATTGGATCACTGAGCACTGTTCTTTGGGGCAATGGAGCAGCAATGTTAAATATGTTCTAGTGTCATTAACTCTGTGACTTTAGTCCACAAGCGAACTATACCAACCGAGCAAATGCCGCTTGTCGGCGAAGTTAGTACCAACTTTAGCATATAGAGGGTGTTGTGTGGTCAGTGTAACGGATCCCCACAGCCGTTCATTTTTGTTTTCTAAACTGGAGCCACTATTTCCTTAAATAGCTCCTCAATTATCCTCATAAGACTGAGTAGACCCCGTTCTAGGCCCACCATTTCTCAGAAAATCTGGTAGTGCCGGGAATCAAACCTGGACCTCTGGATCTGTAGCCAGGAACTCTGACCACTAGACCACAGAGGCGGTCCTCTTAGTGTTATTACTACTCAAAATAAAATGAAAACCAGCTTAGGTGTAAATGAGGGAGGGTTCACACTGTTTAGAGCTTTCCAGCTTCTTCAGTGCTATTAACATCACGCTTGATGTAAATTAAAAATTTTCTTCATGGCTTATTTTCTCCTCTAACTTGCTTCTAGCCTTTCTGTAAAGCCAAGAATTTGGAGAGTACGTATCGGAAATTCTTTAAGGAACTTTTAACCCTTTAATGCACATTGGTTACTGTATGTACCACTATAAAGTTTCTGTCTCTAGCATTGAGGACAAGACTCTTTTATGAAATGGACCCAGTAATGATCTGAGTGCCTAGGACAACCAGATGCTGTCCCCCATGTCAGTACTCAGCATGTATCACCTGCTTTAAAATTATAACTCTGTAAGTGGTTCCCAGAATGTGTGTGTTTATGTGTTTCATATGATTCTCAGTATGAAAAACAACTCTTTCCCTAAACAGCATTAACTGATTGGTCTTTATGATGGAGATGGACTGTATTTCCTGTGAGGTACAAACTAATTTTTATATATTATTTAGAACTTCATGCTCCAAAGAGTTAACTGATGATGACTGTACACTGCAGGTATTTGTACTGGACTGACTGGGGAGATAACCCGAAGATTGAAAGGTCCTTTTTGGATGGATCATCTCGTCGTGCTGTAGTTGATACTGATCTTGGCTTTCCAAATGGGTTAGCACTCGACTATAATGCCCGTCAACTCTACTGGGCTGATGCGCTGAGAGATCGTATAGAAACATCTGATCTACATGGCAGAAACAGGGTCCAGCTTGTTCCTGAGGCAACACACCCTTTTGGACTCACACAGGTTTGTTTTTAATGAGACAACACATCTGTTCTTGTGAAAATATTCCCTTTCATTCTGGTAGATGCTTAATGGGATCCATCCTCTGTCAGCTAATCATAAACTTAAACATCTTCCAGTATGGAGACCATATCTATTGGACAGACTGGTACAGAAAGTCAGTTGAACGAGCAGACAAAACAACTGGACAGGACCGAATAGTTATTAGAACAGATCTGGATGGTGTAATGGAGATCCGAGCAGTGGCAGCTGGGAGGCAGATGGGTTGGACTCCATGTGCAGTCCATAATGGTGGCTGTACGCATCTGTGCTTGTTCAAACAAACGTTGTATGTGTGCGCATGTCCTGACACACCAGATCAAAGGCCGTGTTCTACAGGTAAAATGAATGCTTCAGTGAACCCCCTAAGAATTTCTTTAAATAGGGTCCTGCCACCCTTTGCAACTGCATACAAATGGCAGCAAGTCCCTGATGCTCTGATGCTGCAGTGTGGTTACAGAAACTGTTTTCAATTTTTATCTTCTTTGATATATATTGATACAAATATGGATAATCTGGTCAAAGAAAGAGTAGCAATCTTACTGTTTAGGGTTAAAATAAAGTAAGGGAAAAGACAAAGCAATTTTAGATAGGACAATATACACTATTTTCAACACATGAGTCATGTGTGACTAAAGCAATAAGAACAAGACTGGTACAATACATAGCAGAAAATGAAAAGTGATCAAAATATTTTTATTAGAAAACCTTATGAGAAGAGGTAAGTCGAGAGACATAGTATAAATGGAAAAATAATGTTAAAATGATTCTTACAGAAACATTATGAGCACATGGATTGGATTAACTGGCTCAGAATAAGATATAGCGGTGGGGTTTTGTATATGTGTTTAATATTTGGGTACCATGCTGAAATATCTTGACCAACTAAATAGCTATAAACTGCCTGCAGAATAGTTAGTGTCTTTGACATTTTGTCAGTCTTTTTTTCTTGGCTGGTTAGTAGTTAGTTACTTGCTTCAGCTGTTAGAGGGTCTTCATTGCTGTGGTTGTGGCTTATGGCCCCCCCCCCCACAGGCATGTTCACTGGCCACATCACCCTCTGTCTTCCCGGAATGGGCTATGATTTTTCCAGTAGTGTACTTAATGGCACTCACAGTAGCTGAGGCTACATAGTGTATGATGACTGGATGACATTAAATAATGAACTGAAAATGAAGGGGAAGGAAATGATCATGACCGACTATTTGCCTGGAGGGACCAAGAGAAATCATGCAAACTATCAGTCAGGATAGTTAGTGCTCAAGCTGGAATTTGAACTAGACACATCCCAAATGTGAATCAGAAGCATAACCACCTGATCTAGCTTGCCCAGTAACAAGGGTTAGGATCATCATCGTCATCACCACCACCATCATCATCATCATCATCATCATCATCATCATCATCATCATCATCATCATCATCATCATCATCATCATCACAGAACAAGGTCATCAGCCTTCCAACCAACACCCAACCTGGAGGACCAGGTCCCTGTATTTATGTCCCTCAGTGACAGGGTGGTCCAGTTATAACCCCAAGCATTGGGTGCCCTTCTGATTGCCTCCTACAGTTTGCAGGGCTACAGTGGAGGTATTTTAACCTGTCTCCACATGGGGACATGCGTTAAGAGTGGAATCCATATTTTAGAAGGGGTTACTATAGGGCTGAGAAACTATTTTTAATATTTTTTACTTCAGTGTCACCTAATGTAAGATGGTAACATGAAATGGTCAAATTTCCTCTGACAGAACCAAGTGTAGTGGTTCCTAATAAGAGGATCCCGGAATCAGACGATGCTGACGAATATGACGATGACGAGGATGAACCAGTCATCCAAATAATACAACCAAAGAACAAAGCTGACTCAACCAATGAGAATGTGTACGAAAAGCCAGATGAAGGGAAGAGCACCAGCGAGTTCCCATCTCATGTGTTCATAACAACCATCGTGTTCTGCCTGGTCGCTGTGGTGGTCATCATAATCATCATAGTATTGTACATCCGTCATGTACATCAAAAGAAGTACCTCTACGCGACTGGGAGAAGTGTACTCACGTTCTCAAATCCAAATTACAACGCGTCCAGTTCAGATGTCGGACCAAATGCCAGTCAGGCAGATAAGAGGCCGTTTCTTTGGAAAAGGCTAAAATATGACAAATCGCAGGTATGTAATCAAACACCTTGACCAGTGGCTTAACATTCTGGCATGCTTTGGTGGTCGTGGACATTTGCAACTCTGGGAGACTTTTACCTAGTATGAACTATCTAATTTTGTGGTGCAGGGTCTTTCTTGAAAAAGCTGATAGTTCCTTAATCTCCTGTTTTTATAAAACCCCAATCTCACCATCTGTATACATCCTGAATGAGTTTAATCCAGGCAACAACTTCAAGTCCTATTTCCTAAGTTTCATTTTAATATTATTCTCTCGTTTACACCTGTGTCTCCCAAATGGTTTCCTCTCTTGAGACTTTCCAGCTAAAATTTTGTTTGCATTTCTCATCTCCCCATGCAGGCTGCATAATCCATCCATTTCATCCTCCATAATTTTATTAGCATTATCATCATGCAGCGACAGGCACAAATCATGAATCTCTTCATTGTGTAATTTTCTCCATCATTCTGTACTTCCTCTCTATAAGGCCCAAATATTCTAGTAAGTACCTTGATTTCAGATACCCTGAATCATTTTCCTTTAGGGTGAGACAGCAAGTTTAACACTAGTGCAAAACAACAGGCAAAACTCGTTTTTTGTTGTTGTTGTATATTTTAATTTTAACATGTAGGATTTGAGGCTCTTACAGCGGTGGTTATGAAGAGTTCTATATCCTGGGATGTAATGCCATGTAGTCTGTTTAAAGTCAAGTGAAGCAGGTACCAAGCAGTGCTGCCTGCTTAACACTGGTCTCTTGCCTGGCTTGTTCTTTGACCCTGAAGATGGAGGTGACATGTTCATATAAAACTTTGGTTAACTTTCAACAGACTAAATGGCATTATATCCCAGGAGACAGAACTCTCAATTTTAAAATTTTAAATTTGTGATAATAAAATTCCTTTATGAGGATGTTTTGCTGTATTGACGTTTTCCAAGAAGCTCTCTAATCGACTCTTCAATTTGCAGGAAAGAGTGTACAACGTCCATGAAGACAAACAAACCACAAGTCCAGAAGTTGTTTCTCTGATCCCCAGTGTGGTAACCCCAAACAGCCGTGCTGACGCAACCCCCCCAGAGCGCATTGCAACTCCCCCACCCACGCCCCCTCAGAGACTGGACAGCATAAGTTTAAAGGCAGGGTGAACACAAATTAGATGCCAGTTGTGGGGTTGGTATTAAAATATTACAGCAGAGAACCATCCAACATTAGGAGATTCAAATAGCTAGGCTGTAAATGTCTGTAACACTGTTGATACAACTGAACCTGTGCATTGCCGTTTTTATCAGATATTTAACTGATGGTAATTGGCTTTAAAAGTGCTCAGTGTAACCACACTGATTAGGACAATTGATAAAATAATCCATATTATCAATGGAGGAGAAGGGAATCCAAACACAGATTGGCTTCCAGTTCTGTTATCGTCAAGTATCTTAAGTTTGGTATGAGCCATTGATTATTTATTACCGAGTTTTTGGTTGTATAAATGTCAGTCCATATACCGGGTGTAAACACCCGCCCATTTTATAACTGAGACGAAGAGCCAATTTGCTAAGACTCAGAAACAGTTCTTGGAGTCACAAGATATGGCCAGAGTTAGCATGAACTTGCTTCATCAGTTTAGAGGTAAAGCAATGACAAAGAATGTAACCGAAGCACAACATGAATCATGAGTACAAAGAACCATTCGGTAAATGTCTTTGTTAATTTTTCCTTTGAAAATACTCAATTTGATTGTCAATGTCAATTTAATGTAATGTATACAGAAAATGCAATTTTTCTGTTTCATGCTGCAAGTCTAATAGAAAACACCCAAGCATATTACAAACTTTATCATGCACAATGTCGAGCTTCTTATGGCAGTGACTGTGGAAAGTATGTCTATTCCTCATTACATGCAAGTTTGAGAATTCCATTTGATTTTAATGTGCTCTAATAATTCAGACAACTTTCTTGTTAATGCGAACTGCTTGTTGGCCGATCGACAGAGATATGGAGAAGGGGGAGTAGGGTACCATGTGAATGACAAAGGGGGAACATGAGGGGAGATGGGAAAATTTGGATGAGCTGTGCAACCTCTCCTGCGCTCCTACTACAATCACTGAGGAGATAAGGAAACCTTCAGTACAGTATATCCTTATGTTAGATTTATATGATTTTGCAACCTGACTTTTTTTGGAACTTTACTGGTGCATAAATTATGGAGTACTTGTCCTTTGGGATCTGATACCATGTTGTCTGTTAGAAGTTCACTGATGTTTGAGAGTAACCTACTGCCTACATGTTAAGCGTTGAAGAGTAAACCAAGCAAGCAAAGCACAGAGAAAACTGCATGAAGAAAACATTGTTTTGACATAGGCCTGGAAATGAATCCAAAGAGAATTTACAGGAGGAAAGAGATGAGTAACTAGTGCTTGTCCTGTAAAGGTCCATATTTTCAAAAGAGGAGAGGTAGGAGATGGTGGGAGAAAAGTGGGGATCAAGAAAGCAAACAGGGGCTGTGGCATGAAAGCAACACCTCTGTCAGCTTCACCTGCACCTTTTTTCTTGGCTGTTTTCTCCTTTATAGATTTTCTGCATGCATCTTACCCTGCTTGATGGTTGCTTGACTTATACTCTGACCATGAAGAGGGAGGCAGAATGTTTCTCCAAAATGGTGGTACACTTCTACCACACTATATGGCAACATATTTCAGAGGACAGTATTTTTCTTACTCTGGACTCTTGTCAATATATACAACAGCCAGGGCTCTTAATACAGGGTCTGAGTACTGCTGTAGAGTTCTGGATGCTGCTTGAACCCCAATTCCAATTCTTTCTTTTAATTATTTGAGTAATTAAGCATTATTCCTCCTTTAAAGTTTTAGTTACTACTTACTGAGATAAGGACAAATAAGCAACTGTATCCTGTGTGAGGCAAGGTCACTTTTACTAGTAACCATATAAGAACTGTGAAATTGTAATGGGTTGAATGGCTGCTGGTGCCTACCCTGACTGACATGAATCGATTCCATGCTCTCCCACTCTATTCTTTAAGATCCTCTTTCATATTATCCTCCCATCTATACCTAAGTTTTGTAAGTGGTCTCTCCATTTTAGGTTTTCTGACAAAAATTATGTATGCCTTACTTATCTTACTTATCATGGATTACTAAAACTATAAAAAATGTAAATAAGAAACATCTACTCCCCAGCATATAAAATGTTAAGCCGTTAAGAAAGAAATTTCCTCTACTCTTCCTGCATAAAACAAAAATGTCTGCCTAATACTGCCATGTCTGATGCATATGTATGTACACCCAGGATCGATGCAATTCTTGTACCTGGCGGGCTTACTCCTTTGTGAGAATGAACTCATTTGTCTTTTACAGAAATAGTTTTTCAGCACAGACACACTTAGACTGTGGTCTTCTGAGTTATGTCATGGGTTAACGATGTTTCAGAGGTATATGCACCTTTCACCTTCAGGACTAAAGCATAGACAGCAAGCTTCTCTGACATGCTGGTAGCCAACGTCCAGACTGTAAGGTAGCACAATCCAGAAGACCAAAATCTAAAATCTTCACTGCCATGAAAACCTCAAATCTCAAAGGCAAAATTACCAGAAATTAATACCTTCTTGTTGATATATTAACCATTAGTTTTTAAGCGATTTAGAACCACAGGGATAGGTTTATAGAAGTGCAATTCAGTTACACAGAGATATTGACTGAAAGAAATGCAGTTACAAATATTATTTTCTCTCATCATCATCATCAGTAATCTGTCAAGACGACAGGTCCACAGTCTCTTTCAAAACAATTCCTCCACTTAATGCGATCTAGAGCTTTCTCCTTCAAATGACAGTATCCTCTTCTGTCCCCAAGGTCATCCAGCATCTTCTTACGTCTTCTTCCTCGTCTTCTT